AAGGAACACCAAAGCTGTTCATGGATCGTGTGTTGAGATAACACGGATTGCCTGTGGCAATCGTCTCGGATAGAGACCCCCGTTACACGGGTAAGTTTTGGACATCCGTCTATAAAGTGCTGGGCACTCGACCGGATATGTCCACGGCGGATCATCCGTCAGAAGACGAACGCGTCAATCGCATTATTGGTGATATGCTTCGCAGTGGTTTTGCTGAAACACCCAAGCAATGGAGCTCGATGCTCCCTCTCATAGAGTTTGCGTTGAGATAACGCGGTACATGCCTCGACAGGCTTCACCCCATTTTATGTGAATGGTTTGGTCAACCCTCGCATTCCGTTAACGCTACATCCTGCCATATAAGGGCTTAGTGGGGGGAGAGATAGCCAAAGGCTTGGCTGATATCAGCCCTGTTGTGATGCGCAAGAAGGTGGAAGCGTTTCTGTCAACGCGTTTTGACGTATTACGTCGTGTCAAAGACGCTATGGCTGACAGCCAGGATGTTCAGAAGGAACAAGCAGAAGTCAAAGGCAGGAAGAACGAACATGAGTTCAAAATGAAAGATTCAGTTTTATTAAACGCTAGGAATTTACCTACTCGTGCCATATCTGTGGGGTACAAACCTAAACTACGTCCACGCTTTCTTGGACATTTTAAGGTCATAAGCAAGAAAGGCTTAGCCTATACGCTGAACCTTCCCAAGAAGGTGCGGACACAGTCGGTATTTTATGTAGGGTTACTAAAGCCATATTTCAACCCAGCCTCGGTGGAACTTGAGGGGTTTTCTCATACCCCCCGGCCAAAAGAAGGCGGGTATTACGGCACCGGAGGTGCATATGGGCGCTGATGCCGTGCCAAAAGATCATGGAACGATGAGCCATCGACCCCCGCCAACGCTGACTGATGAGCTGGGTCATCAGCAGTTTTACGTCGAGCGTCTATTGGCGCGACGTCTTCATCAGGGCCACACCAGTATCTGGTAAATTGGAGGGGGTACCCTCAGTCGTATAAACTCGTGGGAGTACAAGGTACCTCTCCGGAAAGACTTCCCGGACGTCGTTCGATCTTTTGGTCGGGAAGACCAGAAGCGGTGACAGTAGTCGCCGGATGCTTCCTAGCACTAAGTGCTGTGGAAGCATGGTCAGTAGTTAGGCTTTACCTCTGACCTTCTTGGGAAGCAGTTGCTGGTGCCTCACTCGCGTGAAAGGTACTGTTATCTGCTTCAGAAGCAAATATTACGGCGTATATGGCTTTGGATATATAATACGCAAGGCGTAAAGACTTGGGGAGCTCAAAGAGCAAGTGGATACAGCACTCTATGGCTCCATAAGCATGTGCTGGGCACTTCGGTGCATTGAAATAAGTGTAAAACACTTATTTGCTTTATAACACGCGTGAATCATAATGAAGCTTAATAAGCAAGTGATAATGAATCTTTATAAGCAAGTTTACAACACTTGGGGGCTTATATAAGCAAGTGATAAATAATGTTGTGCTTTATAAGCAAAAGTAACACCGTGGGGCTTTATATAAGCAAGTGTGAAGCACCATAAAGCTTTATCAGAAGTGGACAGCACCTCGGAATCATATAAGCAAGTGCAAATCACTTTGGGGGTTAGATAAGCAAGTGTTAAACACTAAGATGTGTCATAAGCACGTTTTGAACATTAAGTTGCTGTATAAGCAAGTCCTGAACACTAAAGTGCTTTAAAAGCAAATATCAAGCATCAAATGTGCTTTATACGCTAGTTTTCGACACTAATATTGTTAGCTAGTGCTCGACACTAATGTGCATTATAAGATGGTGTTAACACCACGGTGCTTTGAGCACATAAGTGTGTACACACTTATGTGCTCAATCACTTATAAGCAAGTGTTTGAAAACACTAATGGGTATTAACACCAAATTCCAATATGTAATAGTTGGATGGTACAGAGCGTAAAAACATTGTTTAGAACTTTAAACAATATCGCTTCGATTTTTCACAGCATTCTCTCGACTTGCAAAGCTTTACAGGTTATGAGCCTAAATGGCGAAGAAGTTGCTACAGCAGAAGGTCGTCAGCAGCGAGGGCAGATCGGACGGTCGCGAAAGGGCCGTCTCTCAAGAGGAAAAAAGAAGATTTGAACGAAGAATCAAAGGATACGCAGAGCAAGCTGCTGAAATTACTCACGGGTCTCATGGAGCGCATAGAGCGCATAGAGGCGTCTCAAGAGCGACAGGAAAAGAAATAGCGTTAGAATGGCTACGAGGCTAGTGATATTCATTCGGCTATAGGCAGGGCAAGGCCATAAACAGAAAGGCGTTGAAAGTGTCGTCACCGCGGCGTGTGTCGCTCGGCTTATCGCCATCTGTAGCCAGGCTACTGTCGCCAGGCTACTGTCGCCAAGCTACTAATGCACTATGTGCAGAGGAAGACACGCTCCAAAAGCTAATACGTCTTAGGGTTCTTAACACTCCTAGGCGAGCTCGTAAACCTATGCCTACCGGTTGTTATTACCGCGTCTCAAAGAGACTAGTATCAAAGATGCAAATTTCTCAGGAGGAATAGAACGCTCAATCAGTGATGCTTATAGAGCAGGTTTGAAATATTTATATTTATGTTTATCTTCTAACACTAAATTTAGAAGCACCTACTCTATACTTAGTGCTGGTCACTATTACTGGCTCTTTAGCCTGTTATTATTATGCAAGCATGCATAGTCACTATACTTTAAATAAGTATAGTGACCACGTGGCTCTCTGCCACGATGCGACCCTTCATACTTCAGGTACGGTCACATCGACCTCAATCGATGAGCTGTATGGAATGGACATAGCATGTAGTACGTTGGTCCATAAGCATTGAATCTACATTGTCTTACAAAGGAACAAACATGCTTTATAGATCGAGGCTACTACAAGTATCAAATACATATCAAGGTGTAAGTATTTCTCATACAAAAAGAAGCACAACTATCGAGTATCGTTCGAAATAAGCAACTTTTTGCATCTTAGGACTAATGTACCAAAGGTACAGCCACACCAGGTTTTATATGTAAAATACACACCTTCGTGTAGCCCTACACCCTCCCCCACCAATCCGTGGGACCCGACGTACCCACGATTTTCCAAGCTTAATGGGAGTCATTTTAATTTTAGTTTCTTCCCATTTTGCTTGCCTCTCACTAAGTACCTCGCACTTGCAAACAGAACTTAAGTGTTTTCAACACTTTCTCCTTAGGCACCTGTGCTTTGCACTTACGCTTTCTAAGCATCCTAGTGCTATGACACTTGCTCCTTGAGCTTGCAGTGCATTGCACTCACGCTAAAGCATTATAGTGTTACGACACATGCTTATAAGCTCGTGGTTGCACCTACCTGCCGAAAGTGGCCAGCCAAAATTTAACACACTCTCACAATCTTGTATTGCTTCCAATACATACGTCATAAGTCACTTTGATCGGTTGTTTGCGTTGGCAGTGTAACCGGGCTGGTAATACGTGCGAATCAATGTATAGGCGTCCACCTTGCAGTAACGAGGGAGAAATTTACATGGCCCCGCCAAATGAGAGAACTTGCCAGACTCTCGAACTTAAGAAGGTACTGGAGCTGTGATAAACATCTCGAGCATGTTAAGATAGAGCGACGCGTTAACTCTGCAGGACTAGATTTTGACAGCCAGTCTGACGCGTGTAACCGAGTAAAGCACGGAACGGCCCGCAACTTTGTGATTCTATTGTATTTTGATGGTATGCAACCCAGAGCTAGAGATGTTTAAGGCTGATATCATAAGTGAACTCGCAATTAAAGTATGACTTGGCAATAGCTTCCTGAGAATGGAGCTATATTTCATACTTTTGCTGCAAGGATCGATGGTCTTGCACATTCGCAGCGAAAGTACAAAGTCAGATTGGTCGAACGCTATTGTAGAAGTGACCCGAGACAAGTATCGAGAACAAGCCGATGATATGCTCACTAGTGGTTTGTTCATGTCGCTCGGTTGCTGGCTCATGTTTTATGCATCCAGAATTAGCCGCTTCGACCTCGCAACATCGGTTGGACTTTTTAGCTCAATGGCTGCACCCAACACGAACATAGTGAGATGGCGTCAATTGCGTTGTTGGATATTTGTAAGTACTAATGTCCATTGGTTTCTCCTGGGATGAACTTGAAAATAGTTGCCTTTGACGCTGGCGACAAACAAGATAAAGGCGTTGCGGCTGCAACCTGTTAATAATTTGCAAATACCGAAGAAATGTAAATTAAGCTTTTTCTGTCATTTCCTACTTGTAGCTTCAGAGAATTTTTCAGTAAGTATTTGTTGTTGTTCAACCGACAATGTCCGCGGTTGTAATACTGGAAAGACTGTAAATAACCGGTCTGTAGGGAGCACGACTTCTCTTCGGGTCTATTGATGTAAGTTGTATTTAAGAGCATTTCAGTGGTCAGCTCTTGACTCCCCCAAACTCAAATTTGGAATGCTAACACGGTGCGCCGAACAAAACACATCGGATGCTGAATTGCTGCACCAAATATAAAGACGTGGTTCTTGACAAGCTGACCGACATGGATTCCTGCAACACTGAGGCTGTACAGAAACCTGGTGACTACGATGTTCATGATAATGACAGCAGTAGTGGCACGGCAAGCATTGAGGCATATCTTTTACAAACCGACAAACGTTTATAATGGATGATAACCGATAACTTAGATCATGCAAATGATACGGCTACAGTGAGCTGGTTCCAACCAAGCAGATTGGTCTACTTGATCGGACCCAGGTTACTATTGCTGCGCCGGTCTAGCTGCACTAGGACGACCCTTGTCTGAAAGTGTTTGAGGAAGATAAGCGGCCCCGGTACGCATGCAATATCAAAATACATCAGGATGCAGCACAATGGAAATGAAAGTGTTGGCTCAAGCTTAGATTATGGTGTAACTTACAACCACACCCACAGACCAGTGATTGTTTCCAACACAGCTGTAATGAATCCCAAGCAGTCTTCAGCTCACAAGCTTACAAAAATGTCGAGTCAAACCACCACTTGGATTTGTAGTCTTGGCCCAGAATTTCCGTGATGTCTACTGGACCAGATAACAGGCCGCTGAATTTAGCTCTCATGGACGTATCCGCGCCTAGGCCACTGTTGCAGTACTCCTTGGAAAAGATGCTAGACGTGTTGGTACTTTCTTCCCAAGTATCCCAGCCTGCAGGATTAACGACATCACTCAGCTCGCTATTCTGCCACACGACGCGAGCATAGGGATACCATGGACGACCGAGGTACGTCGAGCCCTTGCCACTGGTCTCAACACACGTGCATGGTCAAAGACTTACTGGGACAAGTTCGAGCTGTTGGTGTTGCCATTGGCGGTGATCCATCCGTCTCCAGTGGACTCAATGTCGCAAGACTCAATCCACGCTTTCGCCTGCATACCAAACACAAAGTCAACGGCACCGGTAATGTAACAATGAGAATAGAGCTGAAGACCCTTGTGGGCACATACCGTGTCCAGGTAGCCGATAACTTGGCATCTATAGAACGCGTGGTCGGTAGCATCGACATAAACGGCTATCGCTTGGCCAAGTTCGTCAATTTTGCCAGTCGGATTGGCGACGTTAATGTTGTATATTTTCACACCACTTGGTGACTTGAGACGCAGCGTGCTAGTCAGAAAGTTGCGTTGATTTTTAATTTCGGGCGCAAGGTCCTTTTGCGCCATCGTTTGCGTATTTGTCACCGTGTTCTCAGCATAAGACATCGTATTGCACGTATCCTTGCAGCACCAGTGGTCTTACCCACTTCGCGATCAAAACTACTTCCTGGTAGACTCCTGGGAACAGGAAGATGACTTGCGGATTACTCGTGTTGGGCAGATATGCTACAGCCTCTGCAATAGTCTGGTAGCTTTTGCTGTATGCACCCGTGATGTCGACGACCGTGGCACCTGGTGGAGGCTTAATTCGTGCGTGTGGGGAAGGTGTCGTCTCTTGGTGTAGCATTACAATTAAACTTGTCCCAACCAGTAATGAGATTTGAATAAGTGTACAATCTTCACTATGTTGCTTATGTTCATGGTTCTTTCAAGTCTATCATTATGTCTGCACTGGTGAGATCAATCACTTTATCTCGGAAAATTTTACGCAGAACACGCTGCGATCTTGTCTTTCAAGAAGCTCGTTAAAATGTGGTGTTGTGAGATATATCCGTCTTCATAGACAAGTGATGTTGTCAGGGAGAGTGTAGACAATGCGATGTGACTTGATTGAAGCGAACATTGCTGACCAAAGTTACGAAAAAGCTAGATCGGCAGTTTGTGCTAAAGGTAATGTCAGACCCGATTGCTCTACATCTGTTGACAGCAACCAAGTTGTTGCGCTGCCTCCTGTTTCAACGTCGAAGGCGCTTTTGCTTGGGATGCCGGAAGAAAATTATGGGATGTACTTTGCGTCAGAATAGCGAGCATTGCAGGTCCTCGACAGGATTTTGTGGTGACCAAGGAGTAACTGAAGTCTACTGTCAGTAATGAGGTCGTGATACAGAGCTACAGCACCCCAGTAGCGTAAGACGTGTAACTTTCTCGAGCATAGTAAAAATTAGAGAGGGTTATGATATGATAACATTGCCTGTGTATTACTTTCTGCCTTACGTGGACGTGGAGCGTGCTGCTACACTAGATACTTGAGCTCTTTGAAGAATTAATCACAGTCAAGAACAAAAAGATAAAGTGATCAATGTATTTAAATGACTGGCTACGTTGCGGTGCAGTGGCCAGACGACAATGACGATATATTGAGCAGTAGTTGCTAGTACGCCGTCGGCTGACGAAGAACATTCCAATTCACAATCAGATCTGATGAGCTACTTCATCAACACAATGCTATCATTGCTACTGGTATTTTCTCGAAACACTTTCTAACCTGAATTGAAAGCATGAATTTTGACAACCCATACGAACTTATTTTGCGTTATAGCTCTGTTCTTCTCCGAATCTTGCGACTGCCATAGGTAGCAGCTGTATTTTCGCTACAAATAATGGATATGAGTGAGCCTAGTAGTCATGTGACGAGACATTTGATTGAATGCAAATGCAGAAGAGTGCACAGGTCTCCCTCAATTTGTAAGTAGCTCTTGTACGAAATCCTGTTGTTCAGAAGACTCACGGAACAGGGATCTGGAGTATGAAAAAAACAATACAAAACATCGATGATAAGATAGTACTCTTGATAGTAGCAAAGATACTACGATATACGAGCACTTAACACACCTCGCAACACCAGCCAGCTCTTTTGAGGAAAACACATCTAGACTGCCGCTGTTAAACTTGTCGCGAACCGTTGCCAATGGGTCTACCTACAAAGTGCATGCAACGTCAGCTAACGCATTGATCACGCCCACACGGATAGCGAGCACACACGTACTAAGATCGCTCTGAGTTTCAATAACTTCTCGAAAGTGGGAACAAACTTTGCAGCTTGAGATGGCGAAGCAAATAGTGCTTCAGACTGTAAAAATCATAGCAATAATTTGCCAGTGTACAACTTAGTCATACTCAAATTGATGGACAATAATGGACAGGTATCGTACCTCTAAGAGCAACGACAATAGGTGGTGAAGGTAAGCTCTAGTGATTTCAGAAATATTCTGAATGCATCAATCAGTAGGAACATATTAGCAAAATTACAGGTCAAATCAAGTTCCACACAAATGAGTACGAACCGCTTCGGTCAGAATACCGTCAACAAAAATCTTTACTATCGGCTCAAGCATCCGTGACATGACTTTGTTGTAGACCGCCAAGGGTAACCCGTCGCGCCACGATGAACTCATTCCCTGCAGCCTGTAAAGTGCGCTCTTTAGAAACCTTTCCACGCACTCCAAATTGTGCTCTGAATCAAGAGCACCAAGTGACTATCACAAGTGTAAGTTAGAAAGCGTGTGTCTAATGAAATATGCCTGTAGCTGTAGCTCATACCGGTAAACTATTCATCCCAGACACAAACTCTTCCATTTTTCTTGAGACAAAAGAAGTTAATGCCCGTTCACCGAGTTCTTGGAAGGAAGGAACCATGTCCATCATTGTAGCGGTTCGGTTGAGAGGTGCTGGGAGCCTACACAGTGCAAGTAAGTTAGTTCTAGGAGCTACATTCTGCTGCAACAGCTCACTGTGACACGTACCGATGCTTGTAGATATGCCCAATCACCACCATATGATACGTAATGTAAAGGCAGTCGTTATGATACAGCATGCAAATTCGGGGATCGTTTGCAATATCATCATCGTATAGCGTAGATACCACAATTCGGTACAGGAAGAATAGGTCTCGCGCTGTCTGGAAAAGCAAGTTTGCGCTCGTCTCACCAGAATTGCAAGCCTCTACAAGAGTTTCATGCACCAGCTCCACCACCTCATAAGCGCAAACAGTCACCCGGAAGTTGGGAATTTCGAAACAACTGCTTTCAACACCCTTTGAGCCCGATTTGTCGGGCATAGCATTCCAACCCGTTTTCTCATCACTTCGAGCTTGCATGTCCGATTCAGAAGATGCATAGAGGCTACATGTCGCTGAACCACCCGTGACTTTAACAGAATTATGGTACCCTTGGCGCATCAAGTCACGCCCACTGCTCAATATAGCCTGTCGGCGTTTCTTTGCGTGCAATCTGCAGATAAACAGCAGAAGTATCCAACGTCAGTAATCGGACCATCGAGCAACAGCATAGGTTCTCCATATACTCGCTGAGTTGGTCGACAAAACCTCGAAGTTGGGTATGGCGGCAAGCAGAAAAACCGATCACCACTAATGCGTTCTCTAAGCTCTCGACCTAACACGGCAATCAAAGTGTAAGTTCTCATTCTCGCATTTAGCGGCAGCAAAAACGTGCTACGCACTTACGCTTGTCATTGCGGCCTCTCGGTAAGCCTCAAGCGCAGAAGCATCCTGAGGAATTTTTTCTTCCAGCAAATTTAGAAGTTTGGCCTCAAGATTTCCCGGGATTTTCCACATGAAATCTCCAAGCTGACCCATCAGCTCGGCGGAACCTGTAAAGAGCTCTGCATGCACAAACTGAAGCACCTTGACAACGTTTGTACACTTTTCCTGCAACTCATCTACCCCACTCTTCACTGAGCCATTATCACCATCCATCAACTGCGACATAACTTTCAGAATAACAACACCATCGTCCTCAATATACTTCAGTGTTTCACTTTGTATCTGTAGAATCGGTGTTATAAGATGTTCCGAGACGGCTTTTGCAATGTCCTGTAATTTTGGTGTCAGGATTCCCAAGACTTCACACGCCTTCCAAAACTCCCTACGTCGTTCGTCTACTGTCAACATCGTCGCTCCATATACATCACTGGATAAATCTGTCGCCATCTTCAACGCATTATCTTTCCATATCGCCGTACAGGAGATATACCTCGTCAGCTGATTTAGGAGCCAATTCTTTTTACTCAGCACTTGCAGCTTTACAACCCGAATAATCTTCGTGTCATCAGCATTGCCCTCGTCTACTTTCTCTGCCATTTCCAGCTCTTTCACCAATCTATCCATTTTAACAACGCCCTCCGCCGCCGCAACAAAAGAGTGGCGTTCAATTGCTTCGTCTACGTCTCGCAGCAGTCTGTCGATCTTCGCAAGCTGCTCAATCAGAGTCAACATGGACTTGGACTGCTGCATTTTTAATTTGAGTTGTTCTCGATGTGTGAAAGAAAGTAGGAGCTGAGCCTCCGGCGCCATCTCACTGTTTTCGTTTAGCTGCAGGCGATCCACGGCATTTAGTAGCATCACATTCAGCCGTCGCATTCTCTGTTGCAGATCAGATGCATCTAATTCATCTCTCTCCATATACATCGAGTGTGGCGCTCCCCATTCGACTGCAATATTAATAGCTTCGTCTGCAGAAATGGCCGCGGACGACGAGTAAAAGAAGCGCAAGGTCTCAATTACTTCACGTCGCACTTGACTAATTTCTTTATACGTATCTTCAAGCTTTCTATACAAAAATGAAGATATAAAAGTTAACAAGGTTATGTCAGTGGGTAAGAGAGAGATCTGAATTAAAGGCAAAGAGAGCAACAGAACTTATGACCTGGTTAATGTTTCTAGCGTAGCCATTAGATAGGTGTTTAAAATGACGAATGATGCCCTTTTCAAACCTGTTTTATTGAGTAAACTATCAGTTTATATTATCAAATGTCTCTGCTTCTTTATTAGTTCTCCAAGTTTAATAGCTTGAATAGATTCGAGACATAATTCTCACTTGTGACTCGACAATAGCTATCACCGGTCGCATCACCGGATGAAGGTGACATGAGCTCGATTATCGCGGGATGTTGAAAATGCTGATGTATCAAGCTACATTCACTCGGCTGGATCTTGCATACGCTGTTGGCAATTCGAGCTGTTTTGTTGCCAGTCATCCATCGATCAAGTTCTGTGTTCCATTCGCGGCCAGCCTGGCGCAGACCGTACAAACCTTGCGTACAATGTAAATGCTGCCACTTTTACGGCAAGGGAACCTTTCAATCTTGTTCACATATTGTGGTATCTGCATTTTAGCATTCAAATACGAAGGGTTAAGATCCGCAGCAAAAACCTTCAGACCAAGATTTGCAGACAATGCGAGCTTCTTTATATGGCACAGTATTGTAGTTTTTGAAGGAACAACAATTGTTTTATCATCGCTTTGAATCGACTTCTACCTGTTCAAGGCAGACAAAAGCTCTGGGGTTCCAATCTCTAGCATTGCAGAGGAATAAAACCAGTAAACAACAAGTCGTTAAGATGCAATGATATTATGAAAATCTATTCATCACCAGACGAACATACTTCTAAGATTGAGATTTGTTGACACATTAGAAATTGTCAAATGTGTCGGCATTGTAGGTGGCAAGAAGCTGCGAGCAGTTGGTCATCTTTATGTGAACAGGGACGAGTTCAGCCCGAAAAGCTGTCGAGTTCATACTAGGAGCGTTTACCACAAACCCCTGGTCTTTGAGGTAGCAGCACACAAAGTCATGAAAGCGGTTGTATGCGGTTATGCGCTCTGCTCTTGTCATTTTGGCAGTTCGCTTAGCTGTTCCAAACAGGAGATTGCGAATTTCGGCTGGAGTACTCAGACACAAGTCACGGGATGAGAATTCTGGTCGATACTTTTCGGGAATTTTGCACGACTTCAAAGGCTTGATTGCATACGGGCTGAGTGTGAGGACGTCGGGAGTAGTAGAGTTACCATCTGTAAAGACTGTTTTTGTCGTCTCCACCATCGAACGGATGAGAGGCGTGACGATGAGGATCGGGTCATCGATGGCGTGGATAAAAAGCAGTACGGACAGGAGCACATTCGAAACAGCATTGCTCATCGCTCCAAAGATAGCTTCTACACCATGCATGAGACCATGGATCACTGCAAATCCGGTGGTCACCGTCAGCAAAGTGTCAGCAGTAAATTCTGTTGGATGATGCATGATATGAAGTAGCAAACCTCCGCCCATGTTCTTAGACGTTTCCTTAGGGTCGTCTTTCATTAAACCCCACAGTAACTTGACGTTTTTGCCAAAATCTTTGAAGAAGTCTATAACCTGTCGGGTTCCGACAACCGGATGGCGGATGGTGTTAATGATCCATTCGATCGCATCAGCAATCATCTGCGCGATATTGATGGCGGTATCAGCCGCGAAGTTGACAAAGTTCCTCGCCAAACTCTTGATTTTACCCGACGGCGACAGGTTCTCAAACATTAACCATTTCTGCCGTTGCTCAATCTTGAAGTAGTCCCATAGTGTGTTGTTGGGGTGGCTCAATAGGAAAGCTGACATTGCTGCATCAGCAGCATTTCCCTTTAGTTCCTCTTCGGAGAGCTGGTCCTGCTCCTTGGTGAAATCAATCGCGGCGGGGCAAACATTGTAGATTTCAGTATTGTTGGCATTCAACTTCGATGCATTACTTGAGTTGGCGCTCGAAGAGTTTGAGACGCTATGGGCTGTACAAACGCACGCGAATAGGACTAGATTTAGGGTGAAGTACTGCATGGGACCGAAGAGGAAAAAGAAGTTATGACCGAACGCAGCAAATACTAACGGTTGGCAACCGGTGAATAATGCTTATCCGACGTGGATGTAAATACAATCTACTGGACCTTGACACAGACAACAAGTTCATGGCGATATCTCGGTCCATCTCCTGCAAGTAGTAAGATCTTGCAATGTCATAACTATAGAAACATCTGATCGCAAATCATTGTTGAACGTCTGTCGCCGGATCAGTACGCAATTGGTGGCGATATATAACTTGTTGGTAAAAGCTATTAATTACGAAAACAAGCGATTGAAGCAGACATAGACCAAAATTTATACCTTGATAGAGAAAAACAGCGTCAACTGTCAGACCAGCTTCCTTCCAGCAGGTTAGTTAATCAACAAATCAAAGACTCGAATTATAATGGGCATAACCCATTGATGTAGAAATATTAATACGTTGGCTTTTTCACGCATGAGGTAACTCAGTTTCAGACTGTTCAGTCCAGCTTCTAACTTACAAGCATATCATTATCGTCTGTTATACTTGTATGCGCTACTGTAAGAGGCTACGCACATGAAACGTTAGCTCGGTAATACATTGCATATGCAAGCGTACTCCTGTCGATGGTTCAAACATCGACTTCTAGCTGTAGACGTACTCATCATCCAGTTGCCAGGTTCAATTGGACATCGAAAGACGAAAAACTATACAGCGACACCAAAAGCAGTATTAGAGCATATATACCAACATGTGACATTAAGTCATTCTATTCGGTCTGGTCAGATAGGAAGTCTGAACATCGATGGGTTTTCCTGTTGCAGCTCTGTACAACTGCGATGATGAATTTTTCATTGTAACCTTGACAGCTTGTGATACAAGTATCCGTCATTCAAGCTACTGCAAGAAAATTGCATACAGCAGTATTTCTTCGACGTTTTTTTCCTTACTGTTTTCAGACTTTGCTCAATCAAGAAACCTTCATTAATGCGGATATTCTTATCTGCGTGCACAAACAAAGCGCATGATTGTAATGACAATCGAATGCACCCTGTTTGTTATCGTCGGAGAGATATAGTGCCTCGGACATGGTTCAAAATGTAAAAATAAATGGTTGTGTACTAGCTCGATTAGTGATATCATTATAGGTCGTGGAAAGAAATCACACCATAAACAGTAAGTAGCATCCCTTCCTCTGACATGCACTGTCTCAATGCCAAGCCCATGAATTCTCTACATGCTCTTGCTATAGGGCTACGAGTTGTTTGGGGATATAGGCTGAGCTCGTCGCCCAAGATACGGTAACAAATTGAGGCTAAGGATAAACCGTAATCTTCTTCACGTAAAAAGTGCTAGCAATCCTGCCAGTCAAAGCTTCCAACACATCGCTAAGGCATTGCTTCCATGGCAGGTGTCTAGCGTTACTTTGATTGGAACGAGGCAGACATCCGGTACATGAAGACTTTGATTGGACGTACAAGGACATGACGATTCCACTTTACAAATAATGATCGTCATATGATACACACCTGGTCATTCATTTTTACAAAAGCAGCTTCAACGGCATCATACTTTTCGAAACAAATGATTCAAACGGGTCATGATGTTGGCATCGCGTTTGCACTTAACATCGCCGCCGGAGCTGCTACAGTTCTAGGCGGAATGGTCATCTTTAGTAAGCGTCTCGTATACTTGGCCAACCCAGTGAGTTTGGCAGTTGCGCTCAGCGTCTCGTCTGGTGTCATGATGTTCATCTCGTTAGCTGAACTCTTTGGCAAAGCGGTGCACTCACTCACACAAGGCATTCGAACGGAAGACATGTCGGATGAGAAGGCAACTGGCCATGGCTGGCTAGCAGCTATTTGCTGCTTTGCGTTCGGCATTGGTCTCCTCTACGTCATTGATATGGTCGTGCATAAAATCTCACCTGAACACGAGATGACGGAAATTGAAAACCTTAAAGGTGTTCGTGAATCGATGCAACAATTTGAAAGCTATAAAATGGCAAACAAAAGCTCGACACCGTGTGTGGAATCTGGTCCATCTACATGTGCTGAACCAACGCCCAACTATGTCCAAATGAATGAAAACGCCAAGCAATCATTGCAACGAATGGGCTTGCTGAGTGCGTTGGCAATTGGTATTCACAATTTGCCAGAGGGCGTTGCTACTTATGTCGGAGCAATCCAGAACTCTTCGGTTGGATTCTCTCTTGCTGTTGGTATCGGTTTGCACAACATTCCCGAAGGGATCGCTGTTGCTGCTCCAATATACTTTGCCACCGGGTCTCGCTCGCGAGGAATAATGTGGTGCGCAATTTCTGCTGGTGCTGAGCCACTTGGCGGACTTGTTGCATGGTTGGCCATTGGTAACGGCATGGAGCCACTTTCGGAGGGGATTCTATTTGGCATTGTTTGTGGCATCATGGTGTGCATTTGTGTAAAGGAACTGATCCCTACAGCATACAAGTTTGCCAAGGACAAGACGCATATTGTTGCTTTTGGTAATTTTGCTGGTATGTTCATTATGGCGGCCAGCCTCACGCTCTTTGGCTACGCAGGTGTGTAAGAACAAACCGTTGCCATCTTCTTCATCTACATATCAGACTTGATTCGTAAATGTGAGTAAGTCTGGCACGTCCCCTAAAAATATAAACGCTCATGTATCCGTTTGCCTACCAAATTTATCATTCACTGCATGGCTTGTAATCGAAAAAACATAATGAAAACTGCCGCGCACGGCGTCTTAACGGACCAAATCTTTGATATCAAATCTGGCCACCTCGATAGGTTCGTCGAATTGGACAACCAAGAGACATAGACGACCACGTTGTTTAGCACTTATCAAGCTATTTCAACTGCATTTTTGATTGTATGGAGGTCTTACAATGAACTCGTATTATTGCCTACTAATTTGTCCATAGCAAGTGGTTCAATCGCAGCAGTATTGCATATGTGGACTATATTCAAAGGCAACAACCTCTTACAATCTCTACTAACTTGTACAATCCCATGAACATCGTTGAAAGATTGTATGCTGTAACCTGTTCACAAGGTATTGCCAGTAAACCTTGTTTGACTTTTACATGTTCATCAGAAATAGACACTTTGCATATGATACAACGGTAGCTATCACAAGGCGAGGTCGATGGAGCTTGATTCAGACATATACGCACTTTATTATCTTCGCCGTCTGCGAGTCTTACTTCACACTGTTCCTCACAAAAGCGGAGTCTTTTCAGAAACGACCTTGATCGATAAAGGAGCATCAAGCTGAGGTAGACCTGTAGCTCTAATGGACTTGGCGGTTGCCGATTCAGCTGCTTGTTTAGAGCGACGGCTCTTTACACGACGACGAGCTCGATCTGCGAGTAGGCGTAGACGTTTTTTTACAAAAGTCGATCCAGTCCCCTTGATGACCTTGCGATAACGAGCCTGCCAGTAATCCACGATATCATGCACGTAGATGTCGCTTTCATCCTCAATTTCTTCCTGAATGAGCTCCTCAATCACGTCTTCAATGGTCACAATGCCCTTAAACACAACACTCTCCGGTATTTCTTCCTCGAAGCGCCAACACCTCAAGACGATGTCAACATCCGGAGTGACTAGTGCAATGTGGGAGTGACCCTTCTGAAACTCATTCAAAATAGAGTAACACGATTCTTTTGGACTCACTAGAATAGGTTTGCGCAGTATCAAGTCTCTAATCGGGCGACGATCATCCGGGTCCAATACAATAAGCTTCTTCACAAGCAGCAGACCAACAATATTGGACTTGTGTTTCTCATATACTGGAATACGACTATGACCAGAGGCTAGTACACTTGCCAACATGTCTGGTGATAGTTCTACATCCAATTCTAGCATATAGACGTCATCCATAGGAATCATAACCTCCGTTACAGTCTTAGAAGCTAAATCGAGTGCTCCATGAATAATTGTAACTTCATCGACATGGAGACGTGTGCCATGAGCAGAATCTTCATAGAGTGACCGTGGCGTTAATAATGGCTGCTTGTCACACATTGCAGACATGGTCGTTACTCTCTGGACTTGATTCGACTGATGCTGCGATTGACGCATATGATCAATAAACGTACGTCGAGCAACATCATTTTCACGCTGAAGTGTAACCAATGCTTTAATTTCCTTTCGTTTATATTGTGCTGGATCATGATCATTTCCAAGCCAATAATCAAGTACTCGACTAATTGGATACGAAATAGGACACGTGAGAATCATTAGACTCTTGACAAATGGACATAACAGGGCAGCAATTTTTAATTGTTTTGGACCTGTAAATACAGCCGATGGAATGATTTCACCAAAGAGTAAGACACATGTGACTGATAAGATAATCGAAACAGCTTCTGGTACTAATTTGTTTAAAAAGATTGGAAGAGCTTCATTAGCACTTGCATTCACGATTAATAGTGTTACTAATAGAAAATGATGTTGGGTTAAAACGGGTAAAACTTGTTTTGCATGACGTTTTTCATCATCGGATCCTTCCATTTCCAAGATCCGCATATTTAACATATCAAGTGATAAAAGTCCCATGGTTAAACCAGCCATGAGACCAGCGATACATATTAATATGAAGGATATTGTCAAGTATAGATAAAATGACATTGGATCACAGAATGGAGAATAAAACTCACATCCTTCCTGTGTCATGATAAATTACTTGCAAGAAGATAAAGAAGAAAAATTAAATGAATGGATAGAGATGGTTTCGATATGGGTAAAATTCGAAAACTAGCGGCTTTTCAAATAGAAAAACGACAATAACTTTAGATAGAGATCAGGGTTGTGGGTGAGCTAAATGCCATACCTTGGATTACTTTGGTTGAAACTAGAAAACATATGCTCGGCCAAATTTACGCTGGGTTGTTGTATATTGAAAAACATAGGGGATTTTGTTTTTATCGGAATAAAATCACGTTTTTATTTTTAATTTGTCACGTTTAGCAAGATTCAAAATTACCTTACCCTAAAATTGCAATAGCGTCCTTCTTGTATATAATAGCACGAGGTTTTGCAGTCTGACCTTCTTCAACTGTTGGTATTACCGAAACGTCCATTCCAATGTTTGCTAATCAAATAGTAAATAGTGAAAAATAGCACAAAGTTAGCGACGGTAAGAACCAATAGTAGACGACGAAATGAGCATCAATTGAATCAATTGTACCAATTTCAAGCATTGTCGCAGGAACCTCGGGTAGTGCTACTGCAAGTGCATCTGCTTCCAGCTTTTCAATCTCAGCAAGTTCACTTAGTACAGCGTCTTCGTCTTCAACAGTCAAATTACCACCTATAATCCGGCTAATTTCCTATTGCATAAACAACACAAACCGACGTGAGAGGATGTCAGCGATATCATACCGAGTACGAAGGCATCAACAGTTAGAACTGCAAAGATTGATGTGCCCTACATTTGCCATCGCCTGTGCTTCTTCCGTCTCTAGCATTAACTCTTCCACTGCTTCTACCGTCATTTCCTACACCACAAAAAACAAACACCAAAAAGACAGACAATCATTGTCACCATGGGCTATTTTTGGCAATACATTCACCGAATGGCCTTGTACATTCCACAAATCATGTGCGTACTTTGTGAATGGCGTTCAAGATCGAATTGCCAGCTTTTAATCCTTCAAAAACCTGCAACTGTTGTGTCTCCCATTCCATCGTATCCAACATTCCTAAAACTTGTATCAAATGGTTATCAGCTTGATGCATTTGCTGTTCCTTGTATTTCTTTAGCTTTAACGCAAGTTTTGCACGGTCCTATGTGTTAGCCAAAAGTATCATGAGTCCGAGCCATGTCAGTGATCAACACAATTATAAAAAGACTGTCATACCCTTTTACCAGCTTGTAACAGCTTTTTCGCACTCTCGTGCAATTGATTCGCTTCAATGTCCAATCGCGTCTGATATTTCTTGAGTCGATCTCGTGCGTTCTTCAGATCAAGCGTGGCTTTATCCTTGGACGTGATTTGTGCACGAACACCAAGTGATCTCCTTGCATTTGTATCACAACTAGTCAACGACGACGCGTGTTTATTCTTGGAATTCAAGCTACCCATGCTGACTCAATATGGTCGAAGACGTCGAGATTAAATATGGGTCCAGAAAGAAGTCACAAAAAGTGCAAAATAGGTCTTTGTTTCAGGATAAAAATGGGTATGATTCAGTACTTAACGATTCGATATGCAAAAGCGACAAGATACATGGTTTTTAGAGATGACTCAGCTTCTTCTTTGGTGCCAAAGCAAGTGCGACTTTTGAGTGAGAGGCATGTCCTAACACATTTGTAATGAAGTCACCGGCAGCCATGATTTTGTGAAGATCTACGCCAGTTTTGATGCCAAGACCATGTATCATATAGAGCACATCTTCTGTTGCAACATTGCCAGAAGCTCCACTTGCATACGGACAGCCACCTAGACCAGCCACCGAGCTATCAATCACTGTAATTCCCTCCTACACATACAAACATATGAGTGACTGAGGTAAAATATGGATGAACGACCAAGCAGACATGAAAAGAGCTTTCGTCCAAACCTGGAGTGCAACAAGAATATTGGGCAGTGCTTGCCCGTACGTATCGTGGAAATGCACAGCAAGACGCTCGACTGGCACAACTTGCTTCGTGGCTTGCAGCATCGCTAGAGTAGATGCTGTAACAAGAGTCACAATTAATCAGAAGCAAGCAGTTGTCAACACGAACAAACAATTACTGCATTCTCACCAGGAGTACCAACACCAATTGTATCGCCTAAAGACACTTCGTAGCACCCCATTTCAAGCATCTTTACAGCAATAGCAGCAACTACAGATGGTGCGACTGATCCTTCGTATGGACACCCTAGCACGCATGACACATACCTTCATGTGCAAAACACATTTGCAGCCATCACGTCATTCTTGAACAAACGGTCATGATAGCATTGGATCTCACGTACCCCCGCACACGAATTCTAAGACTATCCGCTTTTTCACAAATTGGCCAAAAGCGTTCGAAACTTTCTTCAACTGAACAATTGATGTTTTTTTGACTAAAACTTTCCGAAGCTGCCGCAAAAATAGCCACTTCTTTTGCTCCAGCTTCAACAGCATTTTGAAATCCCTGTCAGATAAATGCGTTTGTTTTAATAATACGCATTTCACAAGATATAAGGTCTTACAGGATATACGTACTTCAAGGTTCGGTGTTAAAACGGGATATGAGACACCTTTTTTTTGTATTATCCCTTTTAGGACCTCGCGATTATCGGCCATCTAAATATTATATGATATCGTTTCACATTCTTATTAGGAGTAGTTTATTATTAATTATTGACGATTTAACACTTATTTCGTACCTGTGGAACCCACTTGGGGGAGACAAAGGATGTGGTTTCAATCACCGACAGTCCTGACTCGGATAACAAATTAATGAGTTTGACCTTATCTTTTGTTGATACAAGAGTCTTTTCATTTTGTAGTCCATCACGTGGCCCAACCTCGACAAGTTGCACAAATTCTGGGTACGTCACAATTGTTCTTTTCGCTATCGTGACAAGTCTCTTACCCACTGCCGTCATTATTATTATATTATGTTGCTCAAAGAATGCAAAGTGTTCTATATAGTACGTACTTTAACGGAGAAAACAGCCGCTCTATTTATTTTCTACTCATTTTTTCTTTTTCAAAAAGACTCAAAAGTTAGGCTAAAAAACCTCATTCGCTTCCTAAAAATAGGTCCCTTTGCTCATCGCCAGTCATTAGGTTCACTCCGTCCATAGAACTACCTACCTACCAACCACATCGTTAAAGGAGTCATGACAAGTGCATTAGCCAAGCAATTACAGCAACTTCGTGAAGCTGGTGCTGGTAGTAAACGTCGTACGAGTACATTTCTATATGATGAACGTGAAGCAGCTGAATTCGATGATGAAACGATCTATAATTTAGCATGGAATGGTCTTTTAGAGTTGAAACAACGGGATGCACGATTTGAGGCATTGGAAATGGATGAAGCAATTGGAAAACTCTTTACTCGTGAACGGCTTCATTTCTATCGTACACAGACTCGAAAACAAGATGAAAAAGAGCTGGATCAGGCATTAGAAACCATTCTGGATGCACTAAGTGCTTCTTTCTTACTTCATCCAGCACATAAAGTATTGGAATTTCTCGTTCGTCGTTATGAGATTCATCATTATAATGTCGATAGTATCATGGCAATGATCATACCTTATCATGAATCCAAGTGGTTTATACGTATGGTACGAATTCTTCATATTCATGATACAAGATGGGAATTTCTACGACAAGTGAAAACACAGGGAACAAAACTAGTGCGTGCAGCACTTGTACAACGTGCGATGGATGAATCATCAATTATCGAGTTTTTATATAAAGCAGCTACAAGAATTGGACCTAGTAATCCAAAACTTACGTCACTTTATACACTCATAGTACTTCAGGTGCTTGAAAATGCTAAAGTGACTGAGCAGATGCTGCGATGGCTGGTCCCTCAATTACTAACGGCACTAAAATGTAGGACTTTTCCAGAATTGCAGTCTTCAGCGTACATGATTGTGACTAAGTTGGCGTCCAAAGCAACATTGTCGGCAAATGTAGTGGACGCACTGGTTAAAGTGTTGCTAAAGTTTGCACAATCAGGTGCACAGATGAACGCATTGTTGTGTGTGATTTTTCTAGCGCATACGCAACCGTCCTTTCGGTTATCGGCTACGACGGGAAAACATCTCGTACTGATGGAGAACCTGGGCGATTTTCTGCGAGATGCTACTTCGAACTATGAATCGGCCAGGTTTGTGCAGCTATTGACAGTCTTTTTGACACAAAACATGGAGTCCATGGACGACGATTGTTTTCGTTTGTTTACGGTGTTGGTTGAGAGCGTTTCGGTGGTTGACGGATTTACAGACAAACTGGTTGAGATGATGGTAAAACAGGCAGGAGAACTGGCGTTTGCAATGGACAACACGCGCGTGCAGGCCATTTCGAAGGGGTTGGTTGTGCTGGGTAAGAAGAATGCGACGCAGGTGGACGTCGTGATTAGCAGCCTGCTGTCGAAGCAAACAAAGAAGTCGGAGGAAGACAACAAGCTGAACAAATTTCTAACGGCGACATTTAAGAACGTAACGAACTCGGCGCATTTTGTGCCATCTAACACCAACGCGAACACATCACTGGCGCTTGCCTTGGATCACCCAACTGAACACATTCGATACGAAGCTTTAGTGTTGTTAGCAAAGATGAACGATGTGAACGCAGAAGCGACGACGACGAACAAGGTTCAAGTACTTACAAGTGGCGATGTTCTTCTGCGTCGGATGCTAGACGATAGTAAACGTATTGCAACCTTTATGATTTCATCGTCTCTTGGTGATCTGATGCTAAGTTTGAGCTCTAAGAAACAAATGCTGAAAGTGCTTGTCCAGACAATCCGCAAGTGGTTTTACCGTGGTGAGGCTTCTATCGTTGAGGCTGTTGCTGATTTTATGCTGAAAAGCTTTCGCAAGACGGCTGCATCATTGGACACTGACGAGAAATTGCTGACTTTGTTTGTTTCGCTGGTGAATACGAAAGAGGTTGTTACTGTGGATACGGTGTGGGCCTGGATTGCTGTCCTTGATCACCCTTTTGGTGTGAGCGCTTCTAAATCATCGACGAAAAGTGGGAAGGGTGTCACAGATATGGCCGAAGATTTTGGCCATGCGCTTTCTGCTAACGTTTCAGAATTGCTACCGTACTGCCTATGCTGGTCTCGGACGTCGGAATTTAACGAAAATCCTCTCACGGGTTTTTTGATTGATGTTTTGTCTGTAGCCAGTGCTCAACTAGCGGCGACGAAGTCGAAAAAGACTCAGGCGCATCTGGTTTTGCTGGAACAATCATACCGATTGATCCTTAAGAAAGAATTTGTTATGCTGTGTGAAGATGGCGTGTTGGACGAAGATCTTACGCGCATCATACGCGTTGCGTCAAAGCTGGCTGAGGTTGCGTACGCCGTATTTGCTGTCTCTTGTGACGATTTTGATGATTGCGTCACTACTTTGCTGCAGTCTCCAACCCCCATATTTATACGTAGTCAACAGTGCCTGCTGGAGTTGTTTCACGGCGACCTTTCGAATCAGCTGTTGCCGACGATGGCTCGTATTGTGACAAAGCCTGCTTCGACGAATGATTTGTTGGAAGTCCTCGCTAAGACGCGCGCTTTGGATATTATTTCTGCAGTGCTCGAAGGTTTTTCGTACGCTGAGTCAGAAGTAGAGCTTCGGCAGCTAGTCCATGCCGTTCCTGTTGTCATGGTTGCGCTCTCGGATCTCAGCAAAGCAGTGCGTCAATCTGCACTTACGTGCCTTGACCGCTGGGTTGTATCATGTGGTGCTACTGTGCGGTCGTCAAAGTTGGCGGATCTGAAAGTGCTTCAGACGGCATCGGCTTTCTTGCTTCATGCAAAGCAGGACATACTGATGGATGCCAATTCGGTGGTAGCACTTTCTGGCTTGTTTTGTGCGCAAAAAGAAAGCTTATTGTTCCACCAAGTGCTGATGAACTTTGTGTCTTCTGCCAGCATCAGCGAAATGTGCATTGCAGCGAAACTTTTCGATCTGTTGGCCCCTGTGAAAGATACGTCATTCTGGCTCCAATCTGTTGATTTTTTCCAGCAGACTCTAGCGGGGTGTTTAACAACGGGTGCTGACAAATTTACCCTGAAGTTACTGATAGGTTTCCTTACGCACTACTTGGACCCAAACGTTGCTGTTACAACGAGACAAGGAAAGAGCGCGGTATCTAAGGAATTTGCGGTAGCCATGATATCTGTGCTGCGTACTGAGAAGGACCATCACTCGCGTTTACAGAAGTTGCAGGTCTTTTTGGCGTCCAACCTTTCGGCAGATGTTTACAAGGCTCTTGATGATGTGTCTCGCTATGTGCTCGTCGATAAGCTGCTTCGATTGTTGATGGTTGCAGAAGAAAGTGTTGCTTCAAAGCTTATTCAGTGCCTGAACACTTTACCAATCAGCTACGGTATTTTTGTACAATTGCTCGAGAAACAATTTGCTTGTGAAGTAGAGTTTTCTGAACTGAGCTGCATTCTTGAGGTTCTTGTAATCAAGGTTGACAGCGTTTCGAGCGACGAGGAAGCAGCTGTTGATGTTAACAAGCTTCTCACGGCATTGTGCAACGTACTTGCTCTGTTTTGTGATCCAAAGCACGAAAGCTCTGTATCGGAGTACATCTTGCAGGTTCTGTTTAGCTGTTTGCGTCGTATTTGCGAGGTTACGTCTTCGTCTTTCGAGCAAATAAATGGACGTTTAGCAAAGAGTACAAAGCACGTAACGACAACAGTGAAGCCGCAACTCCTCGTTAAGCATACGCTTACGTGCTTGGGTCGTACATCATCCCCTCAGACGCGCAACGAGTGTCTGCTCTTCATTAGCTCGTTGGTAAACTTGCACCCGTCAAGTGTGCTTGCCTCGTTGGACAAGATTCTGAGCTTCGTCAGTTCAGGATCAATTCGGCACGAAGATGAATATTCTTTTCACGTGCTTGAGACAATCATCAGGGCCGTGGTTCCGCACATTGTGGCAAACCAAGAAGCAGGGACATTGATGACACCGCAGCGGTTTCTTGGTCTCTTTGTGGATGCATTTGACCAGATTCCCAGGAGCAAGCGCGAAGTTCTGTTTAAGATGGTGGTTGGAGTTCTGGGATGTGAACTGTTGCCTTATTGTGTTGTTGCACTGTTGCAGCACGCTGCTGTTGTGGAAGATATGGACAGCCAGCGCGAGCGCATTCAGTTTGCGCACAGCATGTGCTTTAATTTTGAGTGCTCGGACCAGGTATCGTCTCTGGTAATGGTTCTCCGCATAACGCGCGATTTGTTGCCGCACGTGGTAAAAGAGGCTGAAACGGATACGGACGAAATCGAAGAGGACGACGATAAAGACGATGTACAGTATGAACGCTTTGTCTTTGGTGAACGATTGGTGAAGTCGAGTGCGCTCTCTCGTCGATTGAATTCGATCCTCCTTAAATTTATTGCAACGCACCTGCGCGCCCGCGAATTACACCACAAGATTTTGAGCTACCAAAGTAATCGTGATCGGACAAACGACGAGGATAGTAGGGGCGATGTGTTGCAGCACAATTACTTGGTGCTGGCGCAACTTGATTTGTTGTACTTCCGCCGGGTTGCTCGGGAGCAGTCGTTGCATGATGATGAGAGTGGTTTTTGGACGGCCCTGGCTACAGATTCAATGGATATTCTTGGCGCACTTCAGCAGCTTCTATCATCGCCTGGTTTCATTGCAGTCATTAGTGAACTATTGCACCATGACAACAGCTTGGTGCGCAAAAAGGCGATGCAACTTTTTAATGAACGTCTACAAGAGGAGCGCGATTCGCTCTCCCCAGGCGAAGCTTTGTTGTTTATCGACATGCTGGACGAGCTGGACGCTATTCTTCAGAATCCTGAAGGTTCTGAGAACAGTGTAAACATTCAGACTGCGCTACTAAGCGTTGACATTTTGGCGCGCAACTTCGCTGCAAATCACACCAAGCGCTTTCAGCAAATTCTGCCTACGATCGTGAAGTATGTGGACCGGGATGTTATTAACTTCTTCCATGACGCTGCACTTGTTTGGTTGTTCGTTTGTGTGCTTATCCTCGATTGGACGCGCAGTTGGCCCGGTTGTTTTCCCGCTCTTGCCGAAATTTTTCCCTCGGCTATTGAATGGAATCGAGTATTGTTCGTCTACCAATGGAGTCAGTGGCACCAAGGCGGTGTTGCAGTGCTTGCTAGCAGCGTTGGAGGTGTTTACGGACAAGATTCCTCAGTTCTTGGGGCCGTACTTGCCTCGCGTCATTCGTTCCCTCTTGACGCCAGCCCTCCTCTCATCTGCTCCAACGAATGTAGAAGTTTTAATGTCTGTCGATTGCTGCTTTTTGAACCTAAGCAATCATGTCGAGTTGCGGCAGCTTCTCCCAACTCTTTTTGATGCGTACGAGCACGTGCTGGCGCTGAAGAGTGACATGAGTGTGACTCGGTTATTCTCAGTTGTTGGAACTGTTGTGAACGAGTTAGACTCGTCGGCCATACGGAAACATCTTCCTACGTTTGCACGCTTTTTCGTTACTGCTTTGGATGCACGTCGTGTTCACGCATCAAAGCTAGAAGACCTGGATAATGTTGAAGACGACGTGTTGGAGTGCCTTGTGCAATTTATCCTAAAGCTTAGCGAGAAGCAGCTAAAGCCGTTGTTTCTAAAGCTGGTCGAGTGGACGCAGACGCGTGTTGGATCATCTGGCAAAATTGGTGATATCTCGCGCCGGATTTCGTTTTTCAAACTAGTTGTTAAGTTATCGAAGCGTCTCCGTGGCATCTTTGTCCCGTATTACGCACATGTGCTGGAATTTCTGGCATTGTCTCTTGCTGAGAGTCGAAAGGTTCTGATGCAGAAGCCACGACGATCACCAGAAGATAGCGAAAGCGACGATGACTTTTTCGCTAGTGCGGACGAGCCACCGGTGAAAAAGGCCAAGGGTGCTACATTGTCTACATTGGCAGATACAAAGGCGAAACACGAGCGTAACACTCTACTACTGACAACGGTGGTACGAGCCTTGGATGGCTGCTTCGTACATGACAATGATGGATTTATCGAGAAGGATCAGTTTAATATTGTGATGACTCCATTAGTTGATGTGCTGGATGTGCTGCAATACGAAAATGCATTGATGCGCGACTTTATACTGGAAACCGTAGCACCGTGCCTTGCCAACTTGGCGTGGGCAGCTAAGAGTGATTTGCTCTGGAAACCGCTTCACTATGCTGTGCTAATGAAATCTCGTGGTGAATCTGCTGCTGTGCGTCTCGGAGCGCTTGTGACCATTGAAAAATGTTATCAAGTGATTGGTGAGGAATTTCTGGTGATGTTACCTGAAAGCATTCCATTTTTGGCCGAGCTTATGGAGGACACAAATACTGAAGTTGAAAAGACGTGTCATCGGGTTATTAAACAGATTGAGGAGATTTCGGGTGAATCTTTGGACCAGTATCTAACGACATAAGGCTTTTACCAAGTATGGATAATAGTAGATAGGATGATTCATAGCCACTACGTAGATATCTATATTCATATACATACATACATGCACATTATGTCGCTAGCCCACTGGTTTCACTGTTTTTGTATCTGATTCTGTGGGTTTCTTAGAACCTCTATAGTTTAATAAATGGGTCACATATCACTCGATTTTCGATCGAGTCCATGTCATTTTGACAAGACTCCATTCGAATATCGACCGACGTGATGAAGATTTGGCGAGTAGTGTTTTGTGCAATATTTATGATTAACTTGTCATTTCGAGTGCATTCTACCTCGTTAAATCATCATCGCCATCATCGTCAACACCGTCATGCTGTAAAACATCGTTTTATTATTGAAGGCACCAAGGCTGCAATGGATGCAGCACTACGAATTCCTCATTCGCATCTTGATATTCGCGGTATTAAGACGATTGAGTATCATAACCAGCCCGTTAATCCTAACACTAAAGTAAAAGCAGACGTTGTTGGATCTGATAAGGATGTGGAGGCGTTTGCTGCTGCGGGGACGTTGCAAACGACCACAAAATTCCACATTGGTAAACATGTTCGAGGCAAAATCTCAACGATGTCGTCACCGATGAAGATTCGAAGATACAAAGATTATATTGAATACCAAGTGATTACAAAGGATCGAGGAGAGATTTCCGCATGCATTCAAGATACGGAAGGCTATTTGGACGACTTAAGAAGCAAAACAGAGAATGGGACAAGTGACCAAGTGTTGTACACAAAGAATCCGTTCTTTGAATGTTTCCGACCACTACATGAAATTTTTGACTTCTTGGACGTGTTAGTTGAGCAGAATCCAGAGTTTATTTCCAAGTTTGAAAATGTGTCGGTCACATACGAAGGACGAGCTATTCCAGCTTTCAAAATTTCTACCACGTCCGAAGAAGTGACAACTCCAAAGAAGACGCTCTACACACAGGCACTTATTCATGCTCGAGAGTGGCAGGCTGGAGCTGCTACACTCTACACAATGGCGTCGATGCTGGATGACTTACGACTTGGAGACAAAGCTACGATGAATTTGTTTGACAAATTTGACTGGTACTTTGTGCCAATTGTGAATATTGACGGATATCAGTATACGTGGAAAGTTGACAGGATGTGGCGTACGAGTCGACACTTGGTACAACGGAACGGCCAGGACGTTGGCGTAGACTTGAATAGGAACTGGCCGCCCGAGGAATATTTTAATCTCGATTCAAGTGAGGTTGATCAAGAAACGTATCCAGGTGAATATCCTCTCAGTGAAGTATCTACTGCTGGTTTATTCAACTTTATTAACAATTTGGACTCGCTTAGTGGAATCTTGGATATGCATACGTTTGGTGGTCAAGTGCTCCGTCCATTTAGCAATCAACCAGGTAGCGGAGTCGAGCCATTTGCTTCAAGAATGCGTGCATTGGGTGACAGTGTACGCAACGCGCTATCGACACAACCACATGTGCAGTATATCAGTGAAACTGGAGCTTACCTCTACAAAGCTTACGGATGCTTTGATGACGGCATGTTTCTTCAGTTTAATTTAACAGTGCCAGCGCTAACGATTGAAGTGGAGGGCAATGACTTTATATCACCACAAAGCTCAATTCGCCCAGTTGGCGAGAACATTAACTTGGGTTTGCGTCAATTTGCACAGGAAGCGCTTGCGTATAGTAAGTTTATAGCTGAATTATAGTAATTCCACTAACATAACAAGCATTTGAAGAGTAGCTGTATCAAGACAATCTACAAAGTGCAAAATTCAAATGCAGTGATTCATCGATATTGCTAGTCAAGTATACAATAGCAGTCGCCAAAAACTAAAGTAAACATTCACATGTAGTCAACATTATGCATTTTATACCAATTTGTCGAGAACTACTAGACTCTTCATACTATTTTCGTCATGATATTACGTTGAATACAATCGCAAATAAACAAAAAAGCTTTTTTTTCTCCACTGACGTTTCTAAATAGATAGAAATAACAAGCGATGTAGCCATCTGTCCGAATAATGAGTTCGGTTGGTTCTTATCGACCAACTTTCATTCACACGAGTCTTTTTTGCTCTTAATTAAGAGATACTAAATTTAAGACACGATAATGCTCACACAACAAGAAGAAGTCGAAGTGGATGTATGTGATATTGTAGATACTTTGTCAAGTATCTTGTAATCCATAATAAAAGATCAAACATACTTGTATCAATCTTAGGTCCGCAAGGAAGATCAGTTGCGTATCAATGAATTTGGACGTAACAATGCGTTGTTGCATGAAATTCGTGATCAAAAGAAGACGCTTAAGGATAAACTCGATACTTTGGAAGATGCCAATACAGACCTTATGATGAGTGAAGGTGGTGATACCATTCAGTGAGTTGGATACAAACATCAAGATATGTGACAAAGTGGAGAATGGCTGATATTAAATGCTTTTTACAGGTTGTTTATTGGGGAGAGTTTTATAGAGGTCTCGGAGGACTCGGCCCAAGAATATATTGAGAAACGTGTGGAGGTATGTGCAATAGCAAACCTTTATGTGTGTGTGTTGTTTTTTTCAAGCGCTGACATTTGAGTTAATGATGTTGGTAGGAAGTAAACACGGAACTGAAAAAGCTGCACGTGGAAGAGTTAAAGCTTGAGGATCGACAGGCGGTGAGGAATTGTGGTTAGCTAAAAGACGATGGTGTTTGTGTGTGTTTAGAAAGAATTAAAGATGGTGTGCTTTTGCTGGTTGCAGGCTCTGAAAAAGTTGCTCTACAGCCGCTTTGGTCAAAGCATTAATCTGGAAGATAGTTAGCTAATTATGCAGAAGTAATGATTGATGCCAGCATTTCACGCGGACTGTACAAGCGTTTGTGATCGAATCGTGCAAATACATTTGGCTTGAGTGAACGAATTCATACTGGGAATGTAGACGACCAGGCAAGTCCGTATCGACGACGAACGCTTTTTTTACCCACTCGCTTGCAACAGAAGTTGATATTACCTACGACGTACGTTAGTTGGGCTTAGTACGCTTCGGCTGCCTTGCAAATGAGCTGTATGATTATTCGATTTGGAATGCCTAGAATCTTGAATGAGTGATAGGCCTCAAACAAAGGCTCCTTGATTATCTTGCAGCCTTGTATAAGTTACATGAGACTAATTTCTGCGGTCAGAAGACGCAAAGAAAGAAAAGCTAAAACGTTTATTGAATACTTGGATCAATGATCCAGTGGTAGCAAATGAAGACCGCAGAGCTCAGCTACGATCACATGTCGCTTCGTTTAAGGAAAAGATGGCAGCCATGTCGATCTTTTCTAACGCTTTGATCTAGATCGGGCTTAAGTATTCGTGATCTACTCCCAATGGGCAATATCAGCAGCGCTAGTACAAGATCACGATGACGTGTTTTTTTTGGGCCAGTGCTTTTCATCGGTCGAACCTTGAAAAGCGAGCGAAATCTCATGTATCGTGAGAAAAGAGATCCTGACACGTCTCCAGCTCCGATAAATTTGCTAACAGTGTCTAGCAACTAGACCGACCATGTCGTCAATATGGTTTTCGACACCGACAGTTGACACAGTGCTTGATCGGCTGCGTTGCTATCTGTTGCGGATTGAGGACCCTGTGCGCGTGAGGTGAAAACAATCTTTGTGAGCTTACGTGGGCATCACACCTTGTGGTGACGTGAGCCAGCCACTTCGGTACCGTGAGCATCGCGCCGAATCGTTACATTACATACCACCGCCAAGAGTCAATCCGGTCAAATGGCTACTTGTTGTCAGCTTTGACGAGTCAGAGCAAACCGGCGGATTATGCAGCGCAATCATAAGTAAATGATGAACGACAATACAATCGTCGCTACCAATTTGTTCATCAAGAACCCCACAAGAACTAGAATAGTTACACAAACATGGCGTGAAGAATAGCCAATGTGGCGGACTATTTTAGGAGGTGCGACAAGATCATACAGCGCCTTTTGTTCCGGTGGCTGATGTCAAGGAGAAGTGCAAAACTTTCTAGTAGCAACTACTGTCAGTGGTGAATGAGATACAGAAGCTAGATTTCTGTTGTACCAAGGAGTAGGCTGCGGAGAAGTGCTACAGACTCGCAAAACGAAGCAATAGCAGCAGTTTTGAGCGTGCAAGAGCGTGAGAGAAATATAAGATTCAGAAAGAGGCTTGCAAGGCAATGCCGATGATCATGGTTAAGGAGTAGATGCAGCTTGTGTTACAGTGTCAGTTGCAGCATTTGCCCAAGTATTGATGCTCAAGCATGACGGGCTGAATGTTGATCGGCAGCTATCAAATGCTGACTTCAAGTTGGTGACGACTTACCTGTTTGCTTGCCAGTACCAACTGTTCTAAAATAATACAAGATTGTTGATACTTTTGTTTGTTTCGACACTCGACAGGCTGCACTTTGTGTAAGCAAGCCGTCAAGAGCGTCGACATGCGCCTTATTGCGCAAAACAAGAGGGGATTCCGAAGCAAACTCTAGCGTAATGGATATCAGCATCGCGGGTATTGCCTTTAATGGAACGACCGGAGGCATGGTGTCACTAGGCAACCCATGTCTCAGAGGCAACAATTCTGGGGTCCCGCTCCGGCATCAGAGCGCGCGGCCATGTCGTATTGAGGCGTTGGGGCAAGCTCTGCAGAAAATGTCGTGATGTTGTTCACATTCGATACGGCCAAGCGGGACCTATTATGCTTCAGCTATTCCTGTACACGGCGTTGGATTACGTTTCACCTTAAAGAGCAGAGAGGACGGTCTTGGCCAATATCGGCACGGCAGCCACCTGTCCCCAGCGCAAGCAATTTTTTCGAATATGGCGCACCGAACCATCCAAAACTATTCATTGAGGCCCTAAACTGCGTGTACAATCCACATACTGACCGACATGGACAAAGCTCGATGTTGGCCAGAGTGTCTGGCACTCGGCCGGCTGGAGGTGCCGTTTGCGATGATCGATCCGTGAATCGGATGGAGCACCCGCTGGACGACCCGATCGCTGATAATCACGAACGGTTTACGTGCTGGGGCGGGGACGTCGCTGGGTGCATCGATCGATATTGCGTTCCAGTTACTTGGATTGTTCGAGTCCGATGGAGACGGCCATTTGTGCCAAAAGAAGACTTCGATAACCAGAAAGTGACCTGACATCTCCGTCGCCGATCCCGGCGTTTGCGGCCTTGCGGGCCCACACAACAATGTATTCCATCGGTCTGGACGACCAGAGCGGGGTCTTTTGTGACGAAGGAATTTTGAAGCAGCCGGGGCCGTGGATCACAGAAATAATGACAGCAGTCCGGCAACTCGAACAGCAGAAAAACGAGTATACCGAGCGATCGACGGGGTTATCCGCGGCGCCATACATCCCGGTGTATCGGGGTCGTCACTTTTCATTGAGATATTCCACATTTCTTCATGAGGAGTGGGGACCGACGCAATGCCGCGCCATTCGGTACCACCCTTCGTATCTCGGCTAACGGATATACCTGAAATCTTGCTGACTGGTCCGCCAACGGCTGGAGATATCGAAGGCCAACTGCAGCATGCGCGCGGCGCTTCCAGTCCTGGTATTGATGGAGTTTGCTACGACATTTACCAGCGTTTGCCTTGTCAGCTACTTCTGTCCTCACGGCAATATTTACGTACTGTTGAACATACAAAATAGTCCCACAGAGTTGGAAGATGGGTTTGGTTTGACTGAGTCACAAGAAAGGTGCGCGGGACGACCCGGCCAATTGAAGACCCATTTGCCTCCAGCAGGCCATTTACAAGCTGTATACGGGGGATTTGGCGCGGCAGCTGGTGCGGTTGTTAAATCCAAACGATCGCTACGCACCCGGCCAAAAGGTTTTTCGTGGGGTCAATGGCTGCGGGGCACATAATTTTCTCGCAGCCACGCTGATTCACAGTGCTCGCCGCAAGCACCGCTCGCTCTACAAAGTGTGGTACGACTTTTGTAATGCGTTTGGAAGTGTACCTCTTTCGTTATTATGGGATGCCCTGGCTCAAACGGGTGTCCCGGTGGAATATATTGCGATGTGCCAAGGCCTTAACTCTGGTGCGGCTTTTGTGATTGGAAATGCTGAGGATGGTTCGACGGCGCCGATTCAACAGCGTGTTGGTGTTTTTCAGGGGTGTCCACTGAGCCCGCACCTGTTCTCCGCGGCAATCAGCCCCCTATTGCACGCACTGGATCGGTTACAGACATCTTGGGTCCAGCTTTCCAGCGATGATCGCCCTAAGGTATCGGCTTACGCCGACGACCTATATTTTTTTTGGATTCGAAGGATGGGATTGTGGAGCAACATGGATTGGTGTCTCGTTTCTTACAGTTGACTGTCATGGCGGCCAGTCCCGCCAAATGTCGCAGTATGGGCGTACGGTGCACTGCACACGGCTCCACGGAGTCCGACAACCTCAATTTGTCTCTCGATGATACTCCAATCCCTACTTTGACGCTTTCGCAGTCGTATACGTATTTGGGGATTGGGGACGGTTTTGATCATGCACAACGGAGCTTGGACGTGCTACCACTCCTCAAGTTGCTCAAGCAAGATGCGACGGCGCTGATGGAATCAATCTGGCGCCCTGGCAAGTGTTGAAGGCGGTCAAGGTATACTTATACCCCCGCGTGGAATATGCACTTCGGCATTTGCGGCCGGACAATCAGCACTTGGAGCGTTTTGACGTCCACCTTCGCCGCGGGCTTCGCCACTTACTCCGGCTGCCCAAAAACGCGAATAATGATTTTTTTACCAGCCGATTTCTAATGGAGGTTTGGGTCTTACGACTCTGGTGGAGTATCATGCCGCGCTGCGGATTGCACATGGGTGGCAGATGCTCCACTCTGTTGACCCGGCGGTGCGGCGTATTGCACATGAGCAAATCTACCAGATTGCTCACGTGCGCCACCGTTTAGATCAAGATTATTGGAAAGGTCGACGTGATGAACTCTGTGAATAATTTCTCGCTGGAACTCTCGGGACGTCGGCCTACGCATTACCAAAGCGGCAGTATGCTCATATAGCGTCGATGTGGGTCGACGTCCGCAATAATTTAAAACGTTATGGTATTACGATGGAGACAGACCCTGCCAACACCGACTCCGGGACACCTGCTCAGCCACTGCAGCTTTGCGTGCCTCACCATGCGCGTTATTTGGAGCACCGCAATGTGCTCCGGCAGGTGAGGCAGCATATGAAGCTCTTGCGCTGGAAAGCTTGGTGTGCTCACAAGGACCAGGGAAAGACGGCCCGTGCTCATGGTGGTTTGGGCAGTGGCTTCTTGACCCGACCACGCAATATGTGGGAATGCGATTACCGCTTTGCGATCGCCGCCCTGCTAAATATGCTGGATACCAGTGATGTTCTCTCGCGTCGACGCCTACGTGCTCACGCTTGCAGGTGGAAAGAGTCGCTCGCCCATGTTCTCAACCACTGCCCGGGTACAATGGATGCTATACGTGGTCGTCACGACGACGCCCTGAAGGTCATCGAGCGCTCTCTCGTTAAGACTGTGGATGGACGTCAGGGTCGCACGGAGCTTCGAGTCAACCAAACGGTTCCAGGGATGGCTGGCCTGGACTTGCGACCTGACTTACAAGTTTATAACAACGATACCCGTACGGTGGCGGTGGTAGACTTGGCCATTGCGTTTGATCAGCAAGACGGTGATGACTCTTCCTGCTCAGGATTGGTTGAGGCAGCTGTGAACAAGACGACCAAGTATGCTGGGATCAAGCGTCACCTTGAGCGCCAAGGGTGGAAGTATACCTCTCGGCTATTGTTTACGGCTCTCTGGGCTCGGTGGCGTGTTAACGGAACATCTGGGTCTGCTCATGAAGGACGCAAAGCGGCTGGACAGACAACTATCGACTGCTTGTATTCAGTCCAGCCGCCGCATATGAAATTTGCACTGTTCCCAGCATCGTTTACGTCAACATCAAGTCCGCTCTTCGAGTAGGACCACGACCAACCGACCAGGTCCGGTGGCCAGTTCAGGGACTCAGCCAGTGAGTCCAAGTACCTTTTCTCATATCGGTGTTAGTCACGGGTTACGTCGGACGACACATTTCAACTTACGATTCACGACGACTTTCGCGACAGGGTGCCACTCGGGTCGGGCTTCGCGGCACTTTGGGCAGTCGGATACTGCTGCAGTTTCTGGTGCTTCTCAAGGTTTGGCGTCACGGGGCATCCGGGTGAAGGAGGGGGGCCGGAAGGACTCCGTCCCACATACGCCACCGCTAGGTGGTATTGTTCTGGCCTTTGCTGGCCGAAAGGGCCCCAACCATGAAGTGTACCGCCCTGGGGGAACCCATTTTGGTGTTTGGCGACGATTCATATCATTCGTCAAGCTTCACCCGCATAGTGTTTGGTACGGATCATCCCATATTGGACACCAGACAGAAAATATATTTTTTATATTAGTTAACAGGTTTACCGGATGGTAGTACACATACACTTCTCTGTTCTA